GCATTCCTGTTAGGCAGTATATCTTCTTTCCACAGCCCAGTTCCTTGAGTAGAGAGGGAAATGGGACTCACTCTAGAAATGCTAATCAAATCAGACTTCTCCCTCTTTACATAGCATATGTCTAAACTACATGGCTCCGTCGACGGAGCCATGTAAACTAGTTTACCCTTCATAGGCAAAGAAGCAGGGATTTAAATAATCCCCACTTCATTAAAATAAACATGGCCGCCGCACTATGCCAACAATCAGCCTGATCCGGCACGGCGCGGTAGTCTAGACGCGGATCGGTCAGCTGGGGAAGCCTTTGCCGACCGATCCACATCTAGACTACAGCACTGTGCCGGATCAGCTGATCGCCAGCACAGCGTGGCGGCCATGTTTATTTTAATGAAGCGGGGATTATTTAAATCCCCGCTTCTTTGCCTATGCCGGGTAAACTAGTTTACATGGCTCCGTCGATGAAGCCATGTAGTCTAGACATACCCATACTGACTATTGTCATGAGCTCCACCTTCATTCCTTAGAGCAGCATTTCCCAAACTTTTGGCTGTGCCCTCACAGGGTAAGAGAGTTTCCATCTTGGCAGTAAAATAGAAATGTCACATAGGATATGTCTACACTTGCACCCTAGTGCGATCTAGGGATGCAAATGTAGGCATTCGAAATAGTCAATGAAGCGGGGATTTAAATATCCCGCGCTTCATTAGCATGATCTCGCCGGCATGTTACTCTGATCAACAGCTGATCAACAATCAAATTCAAACCAAACCCCTTGGTTCGAACTAACATTACTCCTCAGGAACTAACGTTACTCCTCCAAGGGGTTAGGTTCGAACTAACGCGTCCCGGCGCGCACTTTCACTTTTGAAATAGCTGGTGATCGGAGTAACGCGCCGGCGAGATCATGCTAATGAAGCGCGGGATATTTAAATCCCCGCTTCATTGACTATTTCAAATGCCTACATTTGCATCCCTAGATCGCACTAGGGTGCAAGTGTAGACATACCCATAGAGACTATCTCTTGTGGTCTGAAAGAGACCCACGTGTTGCCATTTTATAGGGCCGAATCTTCATAAGTACTGGGCTCTCATAACTTTTCAGTGGTAGTTTTAGGTGCTCAGCACCTCTTAAAGCAAGGCTGACAGTGGGTGAGAGAGCAAGGAGGATTCCCACTTGTTAGGAAGATAGATGAACCAAACAGATAATATGCTGGTGTAAACACTAAAAGGATGCTACTGAGGACTCTGCTCCTCTCATAATCATGTTTTCCATCATATTTACTTTTCCCAATAGTGGAAATCACCATTGGTAAAAATGAACTGTAAAATATCATTAGATAAATGACCATTCTGAGCAGAAGGAGAGAGAAAAATAATCCACAAGAACTCAGATTGGCTAGCAGTGGGCAGAATCTCCCTGCAGACACACTGGACTAAGCTTGCTTCAGCAAAGAGGTACTTTGCTCCTCCCTGCATGAATGTTGCTGAGATTAGATTGGCCTGACAATTTCTGGAGTTCATAAACAGCTTGCAAGTAATTGGACAGTTAAAAACAGGCGAGTCACAATAGGGACAAATTTGGAAATGCCTGTCTTAGAGCTACTGAAATGACATATTTTGCATTTGGGTTCAAATTTTGCTCTCAAACTTTGACTCCAATGATAATTAAATCTGCGCATCTTAGAGTAAAATTTGGCCTATTTAATATAATTTAGGAATGGAGGTGGTAAAAGACATTCTAGATATAGTCAATGTTTTATACTCCTGTCTTCCACTATAGCTTCAATGCAGCCGAGTGCAGATTCTCTTCATAACATTAGATGGCAGCAGCCACACAAAAGTGAAGAAGTTGATAATCTTTTTTGATTTTAGCTGATCATCACAAAAGTGTGAGCTAATTTACAGAGGTCAACGGTATATTACAAACATGGAATTAGTCCTTAACATTAATGTGTAGACACAAAATGTGCAAACATAAAAAAAAGATTGAGCTTTCATGCACATATTAGTGGGGTTTGGCAGGACTCAATCTGAAGATGAAAAAACAAATTAAATAGGAATCATTTTCTCTTATAGGCATATGATTATTTTAGTAGTTATAAAAGTTAAGAGCCAATCAAATTTAGCCCAGAGACATAAGCAACACAGGGCTACAGTTCTAGATGAGGTTTTCATGGCCCAGTTTTGCTCACATTGAAGCAAAGGGCAAAATTTGCATTGTGATTTCATTTCATTATAAATAGCGAGTAGGTAAGCTCCAAGTATGAAAACCCAGGCAGCAGGAAAGTGAGCTGAGCTCTCATAGTGCACAGTCCAGTCCACAGTGTGATACTGACACTTTTCAAGAGAGAACCCTTCCTATCCTTAAATACAGGAATGCAATGCCAGGATAAAGACCCTCTGAATACTTTACTATTCATTTCACCAACTAACATGTGAGCGGACAGTAATTTTTCAGTTAGTTTGTTAAAATGGAACATTCTACAACATATGTATTCTTTGTATAATTCAAAGAAACTCCAGAAACGGAATAATAAGCCAGGTTGCTCCCTCTTAGGAAAAATACACATCGAAGGCTCTGGGAGAGGAAATTTCTACAAGGCCTCATTATGCAAATAACCACATACACTACCATGTTGGCAATGGGCCTCCAGCAACATCCTTCAGTTCCTGGGCAGTGTGGCTGTACTGGAGATACACTATCAGGGACCACTCCCTTACCCCCCACCTGCTTCCGCCCTCAGTCTGTCTAATCTCTGCTCCCTCCCCGGCATGCACACAGGATCCACAGGTTGCAGTACTGTGGCCAGGGGCAGATGACTGTTTTGCGGGGCCCCGGGCAGCATAATTCTGCGGGGCCCCCCCTTTGCCACGGCGCATGCGCAGTAACGCCATGCGCATGCGCAGCGGCGCCACAGCGCATACGCGGGGCTTTCTGAAGCGCGGGGCCCGGGGCGGCCGCCCCGTTCGCCCTGCCCTATATCCGCCCCTGACTGTGGCAGCTTTCCACATACTATCCCTTTTCATGAGGGAGATCCAGTTGTAAAAATCTGTCTGAAGCAATTGCACGTAACAAAATTAAGTTAAGGAGCATGCATGTTTAACTGTATAATTGTCCTACTTGATGTAGAAAACAGAGCTCCATTTTTACAATCACAGTTAATTCATATTCAGGATTTCTAAAGGAAATTCTGCTCAATCAAGCTGGCTTGATCTTGCTTTGAAGAGTTCAATGTTATATACAATTCTATTTTTTAAAATTAGACTTCAGAATAGGGATGTAAAATCATGCTTAATTGATTAAAAGTGGGGGGAGGGAGGGGTGGAAGGGCCATTCTACCGCCTACTAGTATCGGGCTAAAACAGCCCCACCGTAGGCAGGGAGTGCTCCAGGCCGGCTGATTCTGGCCCCCATGGCTCCCAGCCCCCCATGAGGGGACTGATGTGGGGGGCCCAATAGGGCTGCAGCAGCCCTCCCACCTGCAGATGAGCCGTGGGAGGGGGACTGTTTCCAGGTACGGGGTAACCATTACCCGGTAAGCATCACCAATTAAGGTTGATGCTTACCAGGTAACCAGTTAAACAGTTA